GAACCTTCTCTAAAGTATGCCAATGCATCATATTGTAAACTGAAAAAAATTAAGGACTCAAGTATTTCATAAAATAAAAACCAATATAAGAAACTCACTCAAATTTTAACTTTCTTTCCCTCCATAGGCATCACTTATAAAGAGGATGTGCAAGAAAGTATACATTAACAGTAAAAAAGTAATTGGTTTATATTAGTTAGACATTACAACTTTACATGTGACATGTTGTGATAAGTTGATGCAAGTAATAACACTAAATAAATAATCATGTTCACTACAAGAAAGTCAGGTATTGTGGAGGAAATATCTACCGTAAAACAAGCCAAATCAATCACAAATTTTATTTTTCGGTGGATTTACGTCCAACGATAAAAGCCACATTGCAAAAAATATTTGCCACAGACTAAATCCGTTGCAATCATTTTGCAGCGGATTTATGGTAGATTTACGAAGGAATTAGATTGAGAAAAATGACATCATCAGTTTTTCAAAATGCTGTAAAATTTGTCCCAAATTATGACTGATTTGTGGCAGATAATCCATTCCAAGCTATGGCAAAAATGCCACCATAAATTGCAACATATGGGCATCTGCAACCTTCACTATTTTCGACTGATATATCCATCACAAAATACGATACTATCTCTTTATTTTTGTATTTACGAAGAAAATTCCTCCACAAATCTTCCTGCATGAGTGATCACAATCTTGATGCCCTTTTTACGATTCCTGCAACCAAACAGTAAAATTTGTATCAATTAAAAAAAAAAAAAAAACAATGTGCAATAGTAAAAGTGGCTTGACTATATAGCTCATTTTGGTTTGTTAGTTGGGAGCTTTGGCTACCATCCAAGGGGTCTTGAGTTGAGTTTTATATATGTGATGTGCGTATGAATTTGTTTTAATTGATCTAATGCATCTAAAAAAAAGTGTCTTGAAAGCTTTGAACTTTAGACCGCCTGGCTGAGTGATCACAATCTCGATACCTTTTTATCCTTGCCATATTAATGTTCTTTCATATTCTCATTTCATGTTGCATGGATAAGAGGCTTTGATCTACTTTGTATCCTGGATTTGCAACGAAAAGAAATAAATTCACTCTTAACATATTTCATTTTACAAAATTGAGATACTCATAATACCTAAATAAATATGCACATTGCATAAATTCACTATTCTACGCAATTATAATGTGTGAATACAAGTGTCCTGAGTTTCATAAAGAGGAGAATTAGTGAGCGCTTTTTTTAGTGGAGAGCTCACACCATTAATCTTCTTTTTCCAATAAGGATGACATTGGAAGAAAACTGCCCTACGCCAACGTGTAGGAGTTAACTAAATTGGTAAAATTTAGAGCACTATGGTGGTAATTGGACTGAATTAATTATATCAAATCTTAAACTTCTAATTTACCAACTGAGTCATCGAAAGGTTGCCGTTTTATGTGACCAAACCATCTAAAGTGCTTCTCTCTAATCTTATATTCCACTGTACTATAACATTTTCATGTATATGCTCATTTCGTATCTTGTCTCTAAGAGTAAAGTCACTCATCCACTTGAGCAACCTCATCTTTGCAACACTTAACTTAATATTATGCTTCTCTTTTAATGACCAACATTCAACACCATAATAAAGCATTGTAGGTTTCACCACCATCTTTTAGAATTTTTCCTTAAGTTTGAGAGGAACTTTTCTATCACACAGTATACCCGATGCATTCCTCCACTTCAACAATCCAACATGAATTATACTAATAAATATCTCCATCTATTACACCATCACTATGAGCAATAGACTCATGATATTTAAAGAAGAAAGATGGATGCCTTCTCAACGAGCATGCTCTGATCGGATCTGACAGGAAGGAATGTCGTGGAAGGAGCCGAGCAAGGTCACGTTCAGAGGTGAGACAACGATGAGCAAATGTCAAAGGAATGATAAAGAAGAACAGCGAGGAACTTCAGATGCGACAGGAAGGAACGTTGTCGAAGGAGATGACATGAAGTAATTAAGGGGGGGACAGTAGCTGCGAAGATGATCGACAAGGAAGTGTGACTTTAGATGTGATAGGAAGGAACATCATCTAAGGAGGCAATGCCGTGGGAACGTCATCGAAGGAGCTGAGAAATATCGCAGGCACGGTCCAAAAACAGAACGAGTGAATGAAACAAATGGCTAGTTAGCCGGTTTATATAGGATTATTTGCGTCGGATTTGCAGTGGATTTTTGAAGGATTTTCAGCGAAAAATCCACCTCGCATTTGTGGCAAAAAATCCACCACAAATATGCAGCGAATTTTTTGCCGCAAATCCGTCATAAAAAATACGGTGGCAAGTTCCGCCACAAAATCATCACAATTTTAGAGAAAAAAGTTTATGTTGCAAAGTCCATCACAAATTATTGACTTCCCTTTATTAAATGAATAAAATGACAACAAGTAAATGATCCAAAGTCATAGATAAAAAATTGGTAATTAATCTTATGTCATCATTACTATAAAATCACTTGATTTGACAATACTATTTTATAGCTTATGTGATTCGACCATAATGAACAAGGAGACAAAAAGTGCATGTTCCTATATTTTGAATAATAATTTTGTCAAATATCCAATGCCATAAAAAATTTTCATCTTTAAATAAATAACTTTACTTACTTACATACAACAAATAGAGTATCCTATGTTATGAATAATAAATTTAAACTTAAATCAATTTAACCATTTAATTAAAACACAACACTTACCTCACTTAGTATTCAAACATATTCTCTAAATTTATAATCTATACTAACTGAATATTACATTTTCATTAGATATCATCGGCTTAATATTATTAGTATTATCATTCAAAATAATTAAGTTAAATATTATAAAGATCTATTTTTCAATACTTTTATTTAAATTATTTTTAGGTTTAATAGTCTCAAATATTAGTCATTAGTGTTCATATATAGTTCTACTTAATCTAAAAAAATAAAAATGATTATCCATAAATTAATTTTATATTAAAATGATTATAAACACATTACTCTAACAAATAAAATTATTCAAATTTTAATTTAAAAATCTTTTATTACTTAAGATTATTCAAATTGATGAAACAAATTCAATTACACATTGTTTTTTTTTTTGCTTTACGTATTACATAAATAATTCCAACTCATAAATTAATAGTTAAGTTATTTTAATTTTCTCGTAAATGAATTTATTTCAAATTAACATAATATATACATTAATCTAATCAATATAAACTTTGAATAATTATTTAGTGTTTAGAAGAAAAATTCAGTGCAGGAAAAGAGGAGGAAGAAATACCAGAAACCGCATCCTTGAACGAAATAGGAGCCGCTATTCCGCTCAGGAAACCAGGATCACGTATACGGGAAGCCTCCATACACGAAACCAAGAGCAAAGAGGAAAAAAATCGCTCACCAGACGAAAGCGAAGAGGAGGCGGCGGAAGGGACGAAAGAGGCGTAACCCTAGCAGAGCCATAATTTCAAGGATTAATAGACCTTCAAAAGTATTGTTAAAGAAAATTAAAAATTGAACAATTTTATATATTATCTATTTCTCTAATATTTTTTCTTAAAAACTGTAGAGAAACTCCTCTATAGTTCTATTCACAAAGCCTATATCCCTACATTCCATGGCGTGGCTTACAATAATTATCACCTCGATTGAACTCGAGATGATAATCCAACGAGCTTGAAAATTCTGCTAGAACTCGAGCTTGAAACTTGATAAGCTCGACTCGCGAGCCCGCTTGGCTCTTTTGCACCCATCCTTGTATCCAACGTCGAGCTATATCCCACTCAAAACTCCGAGCAACATTGTTCCAAGCTCCTCTATATACTTCCGGTCCTTCTCATTGTTAATATCATCATCCTTTTGTTTAAGATTTTTTGTAACGGCGTGAAAAGAAGACTGCAATAATGAGTATGAATCGGTCAACTCGATTTACTTTGCCTTCAACAACTATGAATTTTTTAATCTTTAAATAATATTAAATGAAATTAAACTTTAATGATTTATATGCTTTGTAGTGGGTTTGAGCAAGAGACTATTGGATATAGACTAGGCATGGAATTAGGTAGAGAATCAAATAAATAGATTTGAAATAAATTCAATTGATGAATAAAAAAATTTAACCCAAGTTTAAAAATTATTCGCATCCTATTTGAATAATGTTTGAACCCAATTTGAACATAGACATTTTCTTCAAATTAAAATTTAAAATATTTTAAAAAAATAAAAATTTAGTGGGTATATAAAATATGCTTAGTCTTTTGTTATTTTCTAAAATAAATTTTATTATAAAAAATTTCAAATTAAATTTTTTTTACTAATAATTTGTTTTAAAAAATAGTAAGAAATTTACAAAAATAAAACATAAATTTCTCTATTATCATAACATAGAAAAGGCCAATATCGTTCACTTTAAAGTTTTGTTTGGGATTATTTTCTTACTACTTCTAAAAGCATATTTTAATATAAAAATAAAAAAAATAATAAATCCATCTCAAACTCGGGTTCGGGTTGAACAAATCAACCCATTTTAAAAATCGGGTCGGGTTTGGGTTGACCCAGCAATTCGAAATTGACCCGAAAACTCATATTTGACCCGAAAACCTGAGATTGACCCGTTTTTGTCCCGATTTTGACTCGAAAATCGAATATCGACCCGATTTTAACTCGAAAATTAGCAATTTTAGGTCAACTTCGGGTCATTCGTGTCGGGTCGGGTTGACCTGGACCCGAATCGGGTCGGGTTCGTGTCTAGAAACCTGAGCCGTTTTTAAAAACGGGTTGACCCGAACAGCGCCGAGTCAGTTCCGGGTTCGACCCGAACCCGACCCTCTGACCCGAATTGACACCCCTATCTCAAACTAAACCTAATTTAGCATCACCTTTATGAGCTTAAAAAAAATATTGGTTCACATCCCGACTCCAATAAAATTAAGCCACACGGCTTACAGATATAATATTCCCACCAGCTTGAGATGTGGTGAAAGTAGGCGTAAATTATTAAAAAAAATTGTGGGCGTAATATTTGTATTGGGAATTCCGGCCATAGATTTCCATTCGCACCGCCGGTTCTCGAGTTCGCGATCTCTCGTTAAGTTTCCTCGTTAAGGATACTAGGAAAAGGGTTCGCCGGCGTATCGCCGAGACCTTCGCTGCGGTTTGCTTGGTCCACCGATGGATCAGGAGAAGGGGGACGACTCCGATTCCCAAACCAATGATGGGAGGGTACGTGCTAGTGTTAAGCGTTCCGTTGTTTTTTCTCTTTCAGATAATAGTTGCCTATGGAATTGGACATGAGGGGATATAGCGTGTTTATTTGCTCTTCCGATTGCTTTATTTATACTTTTTGATTGCTTTTTTCGTCTATTTGGATTAGGAGGGAGGGTTTGGAGGTTCTGTAAGGATCATGGGTTTGGAAGTTGATCTGTGAATGATGGGTTTTAGTTTTAGACGTAAGATTTGGATGATTTTTTAGTTTTGAGCTTTTCAGGAAGTGGAATTCATCCTCTTTTTTTTTTTTTTTTTTTTTTTTTAACTTGATAGCTAATTATCGCCACCGAAACATGTTATGGCTATTATATTTTAAGTTAGGTATGCCAGAATTCAATGATTGTTTGCTGGGTATGAGCCTCTTAAATATGCTACTAAGAAGTAAATATATGTGGCAAGGCTTAGAAGCTATGATTAGGTCGTTAGGGTTACAAATTGAAAGAATTAGGGCCTGGTTGGATACAAGTAGGATTTAGTAAATCCTATAAATTCATATTCAGTAAAATTTGAGAGGATTCAAACCCGAATATTGTTTGGTATGACAACCATTAAATCTTAGTAAAATTTTAGAAACTATTTGCTATTTGTTTTAGAATCTAAGATTAATGAGATTACAAATTTTTAAATTAATTAATTCCTGTGAATGTTAGGGTCTAGTAAATCATATATTTAAACAATATTGTGAATGAAATGAGATTTGTTAAAATACTAGGATTCGAAGAATCCTTTTTTTTGCAGCATTTAAGCTAAATCTGGCTTAAATCTTGTTTTAAGTAGGATGCCAAACAATCCCTTTGTGGAGCATACCTTGACACAATGAAAACTTAGATCTATGGTTATCTTCACTTGGTTGTGTTTATGCCATTCTGTATTACACGAGGAACTCACACTTTGTACAACATTGGATAAAATGCCTCTGTAGATCACTTTCACTTGAATGTACTTCTTAAAGGCTTTCTTTACTGTCCATTTTCTCTTAAAAACACTTTCCTCTTTAAAAACCCCTTCATTATCAATAACCAACCATTATGTTAACAATTAGTAGAGTTAACTACCATTGACCATTTGTGAAGGAAAATTAATGCGGGGAATGAAATAGCGTGTCATATGTAGAAGATTATTGCACTTGCTTGGCCATAACAAGCTCGTTTTCAAAAATATCGCACTCAAACATGACACTATATTAAAAAACCAGACTAACTAAAATGTGTCAAACATTCATTCATTCCAAGTTCCTCTTGTTTCATACAAAAAAGAATTGGTATATCACGAACACATGCTTTGGAAGATCACCCAAGTTAGAAGCCTTTTGGTGGCCAGTATGGTGACCAACAGGTAAATCTCTATGCATAGCTTTTTAAAAAAAATAGAAGTTTATGTTTGCATGCCCCAACTCGCTTGAATAGCATATGGTTAAGCATTTCTCAACTCTTCTTGATGATGCTATGCATCTTCTATCAAGAAACTTGCTCCAAACTTTCAATTATTTACTCGTATTCAGTTCTTTAATAATTGGTATGCCTACAAATACCAATAAAGGGTTGCGTCAAACTTACGTTCCTGTCATATACCTATTCCTCAAAGTTAGAGAAGTCATTTTCTAAGAACACCATGTTAGTCGGCATTGATCATTGCCATTAGTGATGCTTTAAGGAAGCAGTCACCAACCACTCTTCTTAGAATATTATTGATAGTTCCAAGGGTAAAATAAATATAATAAAAGAATTCACTTGTATGAAAAACATGCTTCTATGAAAGTCATTAATCTGTATGCCATCAACTTTGACATGAAAATATTTTTATAGTTGCAATGCATGTAACAAACTCGCCATGTCCAAAAACTATAGGGAACTAACATTGGAGTTCTCCTATGGCTTCTTATGAATTTATGAATGGTAGATAAATCTAGGTTGGATCATTTTGCCTTAAGAATGTTTTGATTAAATATTATAAGCTGCATATTGGCACAATAACCAAGGAGACTAGTTAAGTATGATTGACATATAAGGATGGTTTTTTTTTTCATGCAAGCACAATATCGATCTTGCTTTGATTACGTCTCTTCTTCTCCCGTTGCACCCAAGGTCAAACAAACATAATCAAAGCACTTATTGACTCTTGCTTAGTGAAGGAGACATTGCATGTGATAATTCAAACCTCAATGTATTAAGGTGCTATGTAATATAATGTACTATCAATAATTATTACTCTTATTAACTGTACATTATGCTGCTTTAATCATTCAATCACAATACAACTCGCATTAATAAAGTGGTTCAATGTGAATTGCACAAATTTAAGAATATTTTACGTTCTTCTTAGGCTTAGAAACTTTACGTGAAAAAAAAGGATCCTTTGCTAATGGTAAATGTATCATATGCCTTGTAGGTGTGTACTTCAATACAACTTTTTTGTGCAAGCTTGTTTCTCAATAAATGATATATATTTTTGTATATGATTTGTTCTAGTATGGTTTGGTCTTTAGCATATGCCAAAGCGCCCGTTCTATTGTAATTCATTGCTACATATTCTCTTACCATGCAGTTACTCCCAAACCATTTAGAAATCTCCTCAATTGCACTAATTTGTAGACTTCAAAGGAGCATTTTATATATTTAGTCCCTATGCTGGATAAAGCTGCGAAACTATTTCTAGCTACTCTAATATATCACACTATTATTCAGCAAGAAAATATATCAAGAAGCAGATTTTTGCTAATCCACATCTTGAACCCAATTAATATCAATATATCAAATCAAACATGACACACTACTCTGATAAGATAACAAGTAATTTATCACTCATCCAATGTGTTGTACTCGGATTAGCCTAATAGTGATGAAGTATCCTGACTAAGTAACAAATATTTGGTTGTTTATGCTTCATTGAGCACATTAAACTACTTGCCACACTTGCATATTGAATTCTTTACGTCTTATATTTTTCCTCATTTTTTTGGCTCATATTTACACTCAATTTTTTTTTTCATTATAGTATCTACGCCATGATTATTCGATAAGTTTTACTCTGGCTGTCGACTACCTAACGCAACCCTCCACTTTTCTCATCAAGGACTTGAGATCTGACAATGGTGAAAAGGATTCATGTAGCCGACCCCACATAGTGGGACAAAGGCTTGATGTTGTTGTTGTTGTTGTTGATTATAATATCTACATGTTTATTGTTCAACATACTGAATTTTTCTAGCACCTTTATAATATAAGTATCATAAGATAAAACTAATAATGATGAGGACATCGACAGACGCTACTGACATGTTTATCGCCGGCGAAACCGCAGATCGACGACCACGATTCAGTGCCTCTACTTTTGATTTAGATGTCATGATGTATTTTATTTGCAGTCTTTCCATTTTACCCCTGTGGGGAGTTATTTTGTTATTGTAGCCCAGAGGGCAATTTCGTATTTTCTCTTTGTATGAGTTGAGACATATATATAGTGGTCTCATGTATTGTTTTGAGCTTAATGAATATTTGAATGAAAATTGTTTTGTTTCTACTTCTTCTTCTTGCATGAGAGCTTGAGAAGGGAGAGAGCTCAAGGGGAGAAAATCGCAAGGCCCACCAGTCGTTGGAAGAGTCCGCGGCTCGTGGTTAAGTTATTATATCTTCTCGGTCATATTTCACTCCATCTTCTTCTCCTCCTCCACAACCCTAATTGCCGCCGCCCCTTGGAAGCCCACCGCCAGCCACTTCCATGGCCCCGGCCGGCCACCTTGCCGGCGACTTCCCCACCCGTCCAACCCCTCCTTCCGATTGTTTCAAATTTGAAATTTGAATTTCAAATTTCAAATTCTTTCATAATTTGGAAATCCAATTTAGGAAAGTTTTCATGATGGCATTCAATTTCAATTTGATTTAGATTGGAGTTATGAAACCTATTGCCACATCATCATCCTAAATTGGAAGCCTTTTCCCTTGAATTCCCCTCTCTCCCCCTTAGCATGCCGCCGGCCTCACCCTAGGTGAAGCCCCATTCAATGCACCAATTAAGGCATTGATTACCAACTAATTTGAAATCAATTTCAAATTAATTCGCCCCATATTTTCATTCAAAACCTGAAATTTATTTTCAGGTTTTGAAATCACACTCTCCCTCTCTCTCTAGAGCCCGCCGGCCTCTCCTTTAATGGGCCACATTAATGCCCATTAATTGCCCCTTAATTCTATTGGTAATTTGAAATCAATTTCAAATTTGCTTCCCTCTAATTTACTCAAATCCTGAAATTAATTTCAGATTTGTGTAACTCTCCTCTTCCCCTCTCCTAACCCAATTTTCCTCATCCCATCCACCCGCCCCCTCTTTCTCTGTTTTGGCCAACCACCTCCTCACTCCCTCTCTTGGGAAATTACAGCAAGAAGAGGAGAAGACGACACCTCTCTCTCCGATTCTCTTCAATGTTGAATGGCGGATCCCGAGTTTGAATGGGGTCTCGTGTTCAACGCCGACGGAAGCATCAACATCTTAAAATCTCTGTGCTTTGACGTAGGATTTGAAGACGACGCCACAGTTGAAGAATACTTGGATCGAGTCGTCCCGATTCTTGTGAGCATCATCGACCGACGGTTCTCAAGCTACGAGTGGAGCCTCGTAAGCCACCCACTACATCCATCCCCACCGGCTACCTCTCCACCAACAAAGTTCTCGGCGCCATCTTTGTAGTGGTAATATCTCTCATTATTTGGTTCTTCTTTCTCCGCTAAAAGCCTACTAATAAGTGAGTGAGACGGTCCTCGTGGTGAAATTCTCATTGTTAAACGTTGGACTTTTGTTAATTGTACTTTGCATTTAAATCTCCTGGAACTTTGAAAGAATTGTCTTGGTTAATTTCAATTGCATTTCTTTGGACCTAATAAAGTTAAAATTTTCAAATTCCTAACTCACTTTTATGTGCTAGCGTTAAATTTAAAGGAGCAAAACTTTAATCTTTTCTC